CCTGTTAGCTCAGTTGGTTGTGGCACAGCCTTATAACACCAAGGTCATGGGTTCAGATCCCCGTACCAGCCAGCCACTGGAAAAAAAAAAAGTAACCCATAGGAAGTCTGGAAAAAGAAAACAGAAATAAGAACAGAATAAACAGAAAATAAAAAAAAAAAGGAAGACTTAAGCTCTAACATATCAATAATTATTAAATATAAAAGGTCTAAACACACCAATTAAATGAAAGATTGTCAGAGTAGATTTAAAAACATGATCTAGGGCCGGCCCGGTGGCGCACTGGATAGTGCGCCGCTTGGGAAGCGCAGCGGCGCTCTCGTCCGAGGGTTCGGATCCCATATACAGACCGGTTCCCGCTCACTGGCTGAGCGAGGCGCGGGAGCAACACCGAGGCTTGCGATCCCGTTGCCGGTCCCCGGTCCGGTACGGGGGCAACACTGAGGGTTGCGATCCGTTGCCGGACACGGAAAAAAGACAAAAAGACAAAAAAAATAAATAAATAAAAAATAAATAAATAAAATAAAAACATGATCTAACTATACACTGTTTACAAGAAACTCACTTCACGTAACGATACAGGTAGGTTGAAAGTAAAAAAATAGAGAAAGATATTACCATGCAAATATTAATCAAAGGAAAATATTAATATCAGATATAGTAGACTTCAGAGCAAAGAAAATTTACCAGAGACAGAGAGAGACATTATATAATGATTAATGGGTAAATCTAAGAAAACAGCAATTCTAAATGTATACGTAAAACAACAGCCACAAAATATGTAAAACAAAAGTGTATAAAACTGAAAGGAGAAGTAGACAAATCCACAAGTACAGGAGGTAACTTTAACATTCTTCTCAACAACTGATAGAATAACTACACAGAAAATCAGCAAGGATATAGGAAAACTCAACACCACTATCAGCCAACAGGATCTACGACATTTATAGAACACTCCACCCCACAATGACAAAATACACATTCTTTTCAAGTATCTATAGAACATATACAAAGACAGACCATATCTTGAGCCATAAAACAAACCTCAACAAATTTTTAAAAATTGAAATCATACAATTTCTGAGCATGTTCCCCAATCTCAATGGAATCCAGCTTGAAATCACTAACAGAGATAATAGGAAAATCACCAAACACCTAGAAACTAAACACATTTCTAAGTCATCCATGAAATGAAGAAACCTTAAGGGAAATATAAAAACTACACATGGAAATGAATGAAAATGAAAATATTAAAACTTATCAAAATCTGTGGATACAGCTACAGCCATTCTAAGAAGAGGTAAACTTATAGTACTAAATCATATATTAGAAAAGGGAATGGTCTCAGATCAAAAATCTAAACTCCTACTTCAAGAACCTAGAAAAAGAAAAGCAAAATAAACCCAAAGCAAGCAGAAGGAATGAAATAAAGATCAGAGTAGAAATTAATAAAATTGAAAACAGAAAATAGAGAAAATCAATGAAACAAAAAACTGGTTCTTTGAAAAGATCAATAGTTTGAAAAGACAAAATTCTAGCAAGACTGAGAGAGAGAGAGAGAGACAGCAAATGAGAGCAGACACAAATGACCACTATCAGTAATGAAATGGGATAGAACTACAGAACCTGTTGCATTAAAAGGATTATATATACGGAAATATAAATAAATAGTCCTCGGTTTATGATGGTTTGATTTGTGATTTTTTGACTTTAGGATGGTTTTATTGGGGCACTAAATGCATTTTCAACTTACGATGTTTTCAACTTTGACAATAGGTTTATCAGGACGTACCCCATTGAAAGTTGAGGACTATCTATACCACAAATAACTTTATATATATGAGTACAAATTTGACAATTTAGATGATATGGTTAATTGCTCCAAAAACACAAACTACAACTCACACAATATGAAAGAGATGATTTGAATAACCCTACAATTCTTAAGGAAATTGAATTTGTCATTTAAAAACTCCACACAAAAAAACAAAGGAAAGACAGAAAGAAAGAATGAAAAAGAAAAGAAATCTCCAGGCCCAGATGGTTTCATTGGTGAATTATACCAAACATTTAAATAATTAACACCAGTTCTGCACAATCTCAACACTTTCCAAGCTAGTACTACCTTGATACCAAAACCAAAGACAATATAAAAATTAAAAAAAACTATAGGCCAATTTCCTTCATCAATATAGATGCAAAAATTCTTTAAAAAAACTAGGAAATATAACTCAGCACTATGTTAAAAGAATTATACACTATGACAAAGTGGGGTTTATTCCAAGGATGCAAGGCTGGCTCAATATTTGAAACTCAACCAATGTAATTAATATGAACAGGCTTTAAGAAGAAAAAAGACGATAACATACCATCCTCATCTTTCAGATGTCTATATGTTGAAATGTTCTAGAACTCAGTCTCTTTCTACACCCATTCCTTATGACTCCCACATTGTATCTCTAAGCCCAGATCTCTCCCTTGAACTCCAGACCTATAAGGCCAACTGCCTATTGACATCTATAGTTGTCATTTCCAACTGGACAAATCCAATTGCAGAAAGAACAGGTTTGAGGACTAAGAGCGGGAGTTTGGAGTCCAAACTTTTTGAAAGTCAGTAAATGGACACTCCATTCTCATAGTTGCTTAGGCTAAAACCCTTGAGGCCATCCAAACTCTTTTCTTTCACACCCCATACCTAAACTATCAGCAAATCCTGTTACCTCTTCCTCTAAAATATCCCCAGAATCTGTTCTCTTCTCATAACCTCCACTGATACAACCCTGGCCTGAGTCATCCTTTTGCCTGGGTTATTACAACCACCAAACTAGTCTTCTTGATTCTATCCTTGCACACTGTTTTCTACCTAACAGCCACAACGCTTCTCCTTTATTCAAAACTGTCCAATGGCCTCTCATTTCATTCAGACTAACATCCAAAGTCTTTACTATTGCCTATAAGTCCACAGATAATGTGGTCCCTTGATACATTTTTGAGCTCATTTCCAGCCACACTCTGGTTCATGTCACTCCAGCTTTTCTGTTCTCCTTGCTGTTCCTCAAAAATGCCAACAGTGATCTAAACCTGCCTGGAATGATTGCATAAGGCTTGTTCTCTCATTTCTTCAGGCTCCGATCAAATGTCACCTTATCAGTGAGGCCTTCTCTGACCAGCATATATAAGACTCCTATCTGCCCCCACACATACATTCCTCATCTCCCTTACTCTCCTTGATTTGTATTCAAAGTAGTTATCACTTTCTGACTTATAGTAAGACTTGCATGTTTGTTTTTCTATCTTCCCCAGTAGAAGGTAAGCTTCTGAGGACATGGATTTTGTCTGTTTGCCTAGAATAGTGCTTCAGACATAGGTGCTCAAAAATTGTTTGCTGAATGAATTAATGAACCACTCTCTGAAGACTGAAGAATCTGGGATCAGACATCAGATAACCTTTGACTGCTGGCTCTGCCATTTCCTAGCTATGTCTAAGTAACCTTGGATAGGTTACTTACCCATGTTTCCTGTTTTCTCATCTATCAAATAATAATAATCCTCATTTCATAAAATTGATGTAAGGATTAAATAAAAGAATGTATGTAATGTGCTAAATACATAGTAACTTGGTAGAAAAGTGCTCGGTATATGATAGTGTTACATCACACAGAAAAATGGTCTAGATTTGGACTCAAAACCCCTCAGTTATTATTATGACTAGATACTGACTTTGTGATTTTAGGCTATTTACCTACTTTATATTAATTTACTTAATCAGCTATGAATCAGTGGCTAGGTCAAAAAGATGGCTAAGATGCAGTCCCTTCCCTTGAATCTTAGTTATGTGATCTTGGGTCGGTCACTTAACCTCTCTGAGCCTCAGTCTCCTCATTTGTCCAATGATAATATAATACCTACCTCATAGCTTTGTTGTGAGAATTAAGTTAGTTACTATGTAAAAACGCTATCTAGCCCATAGCAATCATTCACTATGTTAGCAAAGATTATGATGATTCTAGTATGGAGGGGTAAAAACATCTAAGCACAAAGAACTACAATACAGCACAGTAAGAACAAAAACAGGCATCAGCTGGAAGAATGTCTCCTAAACTGGATCTGCCCACAACTAGGAAGTTCTATGATGATCAGGAAAATGTTAAATTCCTTTACATCTATAATAACCTAACTTCCTGTCTCCATCCCTGTAGCAGATAGACAAATTTTTTCTGCTGATTTGATAACTGGGATGTAAAACTTAAAAAAGAATTGGGTCAGTGTTTACAGTCCCAAAGAGTGTTTCTCAAAAGAAGTCAACGGACTTGGTAAGGTAAGATAGTTTCTTTCTCCCTGCCCCTTCCCCCAAAGTTAACACATCCCTTAAATTTGAGAAACAGTCAACTGGACCCTCAGACGGCAAGGGCAGCATGTAATGCCCTGAAGGAAGCAACCAATTAAGAGCCGAGAACACAAATGTGTTTCATGGAAGCACTGTCAAAGACTAAAAGTCGGAAATGGACATTAAAGTGTGAGCCTGGAGGCTGAGTAAGAGCTCACTAGGTAAGAAAGAGGGCGTCACCTTCGGTGGAAGAACAAGAGCCAAGGCGTGGAGGTGTGAAAATGACACGTGGGTGGGTTGGAAGAACCAAAAAGCTTTTTTTTGTTGGGGGGGGGGGCAGTCAAGCGGTAGGACATGTAAGAAGAAAAAGTGCGGCCTGGGTCCTGCTACATGAGGGAAGAAGCCCCCTTCCTATACGCAGGTCATGATCTCTTAGCCTCAGTGTCCCCTCAGGATCCCCTTCTAAGGGCTCCTAGCTGCTGGGCTCCCTCTTGTTCCCGCCACTCTACTCTTACCTCGTCTTCCAGCCTTTCCCTCACTCTCCCGCCTCATCCGCTCCGTCGGAAGTGACGCACTAACTAGCGCGCCGTACCGCGCCAGAAAGGTTCTGCGGGAGCGGGAGAAAGGGTTCCGCTAAGACTCACTGCGCCGGCGTGCGGGCACGAGCGGTCAAAGCGCCTTCTGGGGGCCGAGGAGCTGGGCTCCTTCCCTCGTTCTACCTCCTTCAAAGTTCTGTGGACAAGGTTCAGAGAGGCTGCCGCCTCCAAAGGGACTTTTTTCTGCCGCTCCGACGCCTCTCGGTACCCAGCTAGTCCGGCCCTTGCCCTTTGACCCCACTCTCGCGGCGGGTGAGAGGTCAGGTGGCCATCTTGTGGCGGCGGCGCGGGCTGTTGTTACTGCGGAGACCCATCCCCTCCCCCTCCTTGCACCTCTGACTACCTGTCAGTCGGTAAAGAGTCCCACACTCTGTCAGGTGAGGCCCCGGCCTCGTGCCGTCACTCTTCCCGCCGCAGTGGGCGGCCCAGGCCGCTCCCTGCTGGGCTTCACTGCCACCATGTCCTCCTTCTCCGAGTCGGCGCTGGAAAAGAAGCTCTCGGAGCTGAGCAACTCTCAGCAAAGCGTGCAGACACTGTCCCTGTGGCTTATCCATCACCGCAAGCATGCGGGACCCATTGTCTCCGTGTGGCACCGCGAGCTCCGCAAAGGTAAACACTCTCTTCTCACCCCCTGGACCCTCCCCCGGGCTGTCCTCTCTCCCACTCACTCCCCAGACCGCTCTAGCTTCTTAGTTGAGCTTTGCTTTCCAGGCCCGGGCCCCTGATCACGCATCTGAGGTTGGAGACAATGTCATCCCATTTCTCAGATGGAGACTGAGGCCCCGGAGGGTTTAAGGCACTTGTCAGAGGTTCCACGGACCAGGGCTCAAGTGTCCAGGCTTCCAGTTCATCAAGCCGTTTTCCCCCTCAGGTTCATCCTGACACTTGTGACTCATATTCTTTTGGCTGCATTCAGTGCCGGGTGGAGGATACTGGCCCTAGTTTGTTACATGCCAGGCCCTTTGCTGAGCATTTGGAGTAAGAGCCAGTGGGCTCTGGAGTCAGACTGCCTGGATCGAGTCATACCTAGCTCAGCCACTTACTAGCTAAATGATACTGGACGAGTTCCTTCATCTCCTTATGCCTCTGTTTTCTCATCTATAAGATGGAGACAAGGATAATTGCCCCTTACAAAGCCTTTACTTCATACCGGTCACTATAGTAAGGTCTTTGTATATATCCTCGCCCTCACTTCTCAGAACAGCCCTGTGAAGTGGGTAGTCTCTCCCATTTTAGAGATGTTAAAGAACCACACCATCTAGACCTTCCCTTTCAGGCTCCTCAAGCAACTGCCATTGATTTCAGGCCCTGCTAAGGGTCTGACAGGCATTCATTGAGCTTAGCCCGATATTTGGCAGACACTGGGTTGGACACTTAGTAGCATTTTGTCTCTGTCACCTGCCTGGAATTTAAGCCTTACTTTGCCACCTACTCTCCCTGGCAACTTAACATGACTTCCTCTTGCTTTCCTTATCTATAAAATGGAGATGATGGTAACTGATATTTACTGTGCCTTTTATTATGTGCTAGGTGCAGTGCTGGTATCTTCGTATACATTGTTATTTTTAAAATTCTCGTATGAAGTGGGAACTTTGCAGATGAAAAACTGAGGCTTAGTAACTCATGGTGAGGAGTAAACAGGCTAATGCAAGTGAACATTGAACATGATGTTGGGCACAGCGTAGGCATTCAGTAAGACATTAATCATGGTGAGATGAGACTCTTGGTTACTCAATGTGATGCATGGTTTTTGCTTTCAAGTTGCTTATAGTCTGGTGGGGAAAGATGGGCACCTACATTGCTGTTTGATACTTTGATGAGTTCCATAACTGAAGGCTGAAGAAATGAAGCTCAGAGCTGTTCTGGACACCCTCTGTGCAGTCGGCCCGTTATACCATAGGAAATGACTTTATGTGTGTTCTTTACTATCTATGAGTTGGGGGATGTCACCCTGTTTTACAGATGTGGAAACTGAAGTGGCTAAGTGGTACTTTCAAGGCGTTTGAACTGGTGAGGCTTAGTCAACATTAGGCTGGCATATATACCAAACTCCAGGAGACTTCCAGGAGTACTGAGATAGTGATCCCCTTATCCCCGTGGGCAGTTGGAGGGTAGAGCCTGGGACTCCCAGAGCCTCCTTCATGTGCCCCACTATGTCATTCAAATATTGTAAAATCTGCTGAGTTGAGGAAAAAATGGGAATCGCTTCTCTGAAGAATCCTATTGGGTAGGATCTCAGAGATGGTCAGAGTCCATCTCAAATGTTACTTTTGTGAAGCCTTCTTGATTCCTCACCTCACCCTATTTGAGTTATTGTAAAATATTTTAGAGAGTGCATTCTTTCATGAAGCTCCTTTATCTCTAATCTCATATGACAGAGCCTTATGTTTAAGTAGTCCGGCATTATCTCCGTTTTATAGGTGAGAAGGTAAAGATATAGATTAAGTGCTTTGTTTGGGGGCGCACAGCTAGGACATGAGCCTAGGGCTGTCTGATGCCCAAACTTGTGCTTTTTAAAGTACCATTGCCTCAATGTACTTAATAGAAGGTGGTCATCTGACTCCAACCAAACCTGAGTGCTTTCATTTATTGGCATTAATCACTCCCTCCCACCCCATCACACCAATTTAGCATTTACTTCATTCTTACTGTTATGCCTTTTTCACTGAATTGTATTTTGAGGGAGAAACTGGACGTTCTTGTTTCTGTGTAACAAACACCATGTTATTTAGCATGGTGCCTGCTACACAGTTAAAAATAGCTTGGGAGTTAAGTTGTGGTCTCTGGTACCATTTTCGTGGTTGAGTAAAGAATCTGAACAGCAATGTCCAATACAACTTTCTGTGATAATAGCAATGTTTTATATCTGTGCTGTCCGATAGAGTAGCCACTTGCCACATGTGGCTATTGAGCACTTAAAATGTGTGATTAAGGAACTAACTTTTAAATAAATACAATTGAAAATTCAGCCCTGAAGTTTTATTAGGCACAGTTCAAATGTTCAATAGCCACAAGTGGCTAGTAGCTACCATAATGGACAGTGCAGAGCTAGAGGATTCTCTTCCAAGCATCAAGATGCAGCTTCCTATGATGGATTAAAATGCCCCCACACTAAAGTGGAAAAGGATTTTGTGCTCTAATGTTCAGATTGATTAGGCCTCTATGTTCTAGCCTACCCTGAGTCTTTAAAAGTGGACATTTCTGGCCGGCCCGGTGGCGCACTGCGCTAGTGCGCCACTTGGGAAGCGCGGCGGCGCTCCCGTCTAGGGTTCGGATCCCACATACAGACCGGTTCCCGCTCACTGGCTGAGCGAGGCGCGGGGGCAACACCGAGGGTTGCAATCCCGTTGCCGGTCCTCGGTCCGGTACGGGGGCAACACTGAGGGTTGCGATCCGTTGCCGGACACGGAAAAAGACAAAAGAAAAAAAAAAAAAAAAAAGTGGACATTTCTATCTATGGTCCAGTCATTTTCCATATCTAAGATGTAAGACTGTCTCTGAGTTGCCTTCAAAATATGACGTTTACAAAAATTACTTTTTCTCTCTTAAATACTTCTTTCTTTTATTCCTGGTTTGTCATTTTCATTTCCTAGGAATAATTCTTAATTTATCCCTTTCGTCTCTGTTTTAAATAGAACTTCTCCCATGTTTATGGAATAGTTTGGTGTAAAATGCTCTTAGATGAGTATTTTTTTAATGGTGTTTTGTATCTTTGCCTGAATGTAGGTAAATAGGCCTTTTTTCCCAAAATTATTTTGAGATTTTCTCTAAATCTTAAAACCAAGCAAACAAGTGAAAATTTTTGATTAGCCAGTTATTTAAATTTTGCTCAGCAACTAGTCTGACCAGTTTGGAATAGGTATAGGTAGAGGGTGAAAGGATCTATTTTGTCATATTGGAAAGACATCTGAACAAGTGACTTGTCATCCAGAGTTGGAATGGAGGGGTGTGTGTTTTATAAGTATGTGTGTTCAAGTGCTCTTTATTGAAGATCTGTTTTACTTTTGAATCTGCTAACTTTCATGGCATTATAGGCCTGGTAGTTTTTACTTAATGCAGCTTCCCAGAAGTTTGCTTGGAAAAAAGACTTTTGCCATAATCACACCTTGGTAGCAAAGTAGGATATTGTAACTATTGACACTTTTGTTCTGCTTTTGAATAATAATTTGAACGATTAAAGACAGCTCCAGGTTTTCAATGTTCTTATCAGTTGGCCATCTAAACTAGGTTATTACCAGGAGGTTAATACAATTCAAGATATCCATATTTAATTTTATGAGCATTTTAAGAGCAGTTTAAACTATAATGTGCTCTAAAAATCTTGTTTTTAACTTGGGTTATTCTCCTGTAGCTACATTTTAAAATGTCATATCTTATGCCTGCTGTGTCAGAACTTACACGTGCTGTGTGCATTTCAAAAGAAACAGAAGTGGTTTCTGAGAGAAACGGAGCAAGGACTAGTTATTTGGGTGTATAAAGGTTGACACAGAGCTTGCTTGAGTTTTTCAGGTACTTTAGCATTAGAAAAAGAAAACTGGGACCAACAATGGTAGTGATGTAACTTTACGGTTGAGAAGTTATGTGCATAGAAGCCAGGACATTCAGTAATGTTCCCCCAAACAACTGTAACTCAGACATATTGCACGAGGTTTTTATGATTTAATATATAGTACCATATTGAGTAATAGAAAATACTACATTTCATATGTATAAGAGAAAAGAATTATGGGTTTTGTGGGAGTCATAATTTTGCATATCCAGATTTCAGATGTGTAAATTTTCAATAATAATGTAGTGTTAATATATATTTGTATTTGAGGTACATATCCATTGGTTTATCTAGAAATTCCTCTGGATTGTAGAGTAGATATCACTGACCAATTATGGTTACTGAGTATCAGAGAGAAATTCTCAGTTTAGGAGCATAAATTACAAGAATGTACTTTAAAATTGAAAGTTAACTCAGTCTTTCCTTATGGAATATTTTATAATTAAGAGTGAGTTAGAAATGTTCATCTTTGCAAGAGAATAAATGAAAGCCTTGGTTTTAATATTAATGTTGATTGCTTATTCTTTAGGAATTTTCTTTGGATTATCTTCATTTTTGCTGTTGATTAATTTCCTTGTTAAAATAACACAGAAATGAAGATGGCCATTTTTTGTTCTTTTTCAAAATTGTATTCCCAAACCTGTTGTGTTAGAGACCTTCAGGAGTTCCTTGAGTTGTTTTTTAAACATATCTGCTTGACTTCAAGTTGATAAAGCTTGTCTTAATGTTATTTAGGAGTAGCTTAGGACCAAAAAATTGTGAAATGAGAATTTCTTTGGTGTAAGTGAAATTTCTGTCTTTTCTTTTTTTCAGCCAAGTCAAATAGAAAGCTTACTTTTCTGTACCTAGCAAATGATGTCATCCAAAACAGTAAAAGAAAAGGACCTGAATTCACTAGAGAATTTGAATCTGTCCTTGTGGATGCTTTTTCTCACGTTGCCAGGTATGTTGTCTGTTTTTTTGTTTTGTTTTGTTTTTAAGTGCATTACCTTTTCCACCTTTTTGTTCTTTCCTTTTCTTTAATAGCTTTTGTAAACGTAGGCCAAATTGTGGTTTTATGCTTTGCTGGGCCCTATCTCAAACATGTAAACATTTTGATGCATTAAAGAGATTCAGTCTAGCACTTGAAACACATCTTTTTCCCCAGATTTATTCACTTATTGAATTTATTTCTTGAGTATGGCATTTTCCTTGGTTTGGCTGAGTTGTCTCAATAGTTTATGGTGAAGAAACAAAGGTAAATAGTATAAGGGAACCTTTTAGTAACATAACCTTAGTAGCAAGAAATTAATTGCTTATGCCTTCTTTTTTACTTTCTTCCTTCTGGATTTCTAGATGTCTAGTTTGCTACACATAGTAGTCATTACTGTAACTGCAAAAATAATTATTATTAGTGTGGAAAGTAGGTGTTTGCTCTGGTTGTGTTGTCTGCTACTATTGTGTTTTATGGTAGAGAGGACTGGAACACAGAACACACAGCTAATTTAATAGAAAGCAGACTTTCGATTAAAAGTTTATGAATCATTATTCTTCATTTTAAAGCAAAAGCTTTCTATAGGAACAAGTTAGGTGCCCAGGAGGAGCTGTTTTCAGTAGGATATTATGTTTATAAGTAAACATAAAAATAAACAGATCTTTGCGGGAGGAAATTGGGAAGGGCGAAAAGGAGACTAGTGGATTGAATAAAAATTGTTCTAGGGCCTAAAGTGTAAGTGAAAGACTTTAAATGTGAAATTAAATTTAACATTCCTAGAAGGATTTGAAAAGTTTGAAGGAATAAAACTAGAAATCCAAAAGAAAGAAATGACATCTAGCTTTATAGAGATGGAAAAAGGTTTTTGTTTGGCAACTATGTAGCTGGCTCTTCTTTTGATGAATATGGACACTGAAGTAGCTGAATATGTGAACTTGAAAAAACTACTGAATCCACATAACAGAAAGTAAGCTTAGAACAGACTACTAGAGTAGGTATCTGAAGTTAGAGACAGGGATTTTCTTGTTTTGGTGAAATTTAGTTCACTTTCTTAGATGTTGGGTGTGGCTATGCCCATCACTGTCTGAGTGACCTTGGATGTGTTACTTAATTTTTTGAGCCCAAGATTCCTATTGGTTAAAGGGAATGACATCACCTATCTCACTAGCGTTGTTACGAAGCTGAAGTAAGACAGTATGTTGAAAAGTACATAGTATAATGCCTGACCCACATTCTTTGCTCATTAATTGGACTATACAGTTGTCCCTCAGTAAGGGATTGTTTCCAGGATGCTCATGTTCTTTTTATAAAATGGTGTAGTATTTGCATATAACCTACACATCTTCCTGTATACTTTGAATTATCTCTAGATTATTTATAATACCTAATACAATGCAAATTTTGTATAAATAGTTGTTATACTGTATTGTTTAGGGAATAATGGCAAGGAAAAAATTCTGTACATGTTCAGTACAAGCACTTTTTTTTCCTAAATAGTTTTGATCCTTGGTTGGTCGAATCCACTCATACAAAACCCATGGATACAGAGGGCTGGCTGTATTAGATTATAAGCTCCATGAAGGAGAAGACCATTTTTTTTGTTCTTTGCTGATTTCCAAGCACCTAGTTAAGTGTCTGGCACAGAGGTGCTGGGTTACATAGCTTTAGGGAATGCCATTTATGAGGGTATATCAGAAAGTTCATGGAAAGGGCTGGCCCCGTGGCTCATTCAGGCGAGTGCGGTGCTGGGAGTGCCAAGGCTGCGGGTTCAGATCCTATATAGGGATGGCCAATGTGCTCACTGGCTGAGCGTGGTACAGACAACACCGAGCGAGGGGTTACGATCCCCTTACCAGCCACAAAAAAAAAAAAAAAAAAAAAGTTCATGGAAAAATTGAATTAAAACAATACAAATCTTTCCATGAACTTTGTGAAGTATCCTCAAATATAGTCTTGATCTAAATGGTGTCCCGAGAGCTGGGCAACTTCATGGTCTGTTCTGGCACAGAGTAGGGATTCAGTAAATATTTGTTGAATGAGTTAATTAACATTAACTCATTGGGGAAAAGTTTGGTCTCGGGAATTGGCTGAAATAATTTCCTGTAGAGATAATACATACACTTTTATTTAAAAATTGATCAATAATCTTTAGCTGCCCCCAAACCAGAAAAGGTTAAGTAGAAAGGATTGGAAGAAGGGGGTTGGGTAACACCAGTATTAAAAATTCCTTTTCTACTTGGGAACATCTTAAAACCTATCCAGGAGACACTATGAAAATGGCTTGGTGCATTCCCTGGTAGTATGGGGAAAATAAACCTGGTCTTTTTCAATATAAAAAAGCTCTAATTATTTTCTGTTTGCATTCTTCTAGTTCTCTTGAGGTCTTGTTTGGGTACTATATTCAAGATACCCATGTTTCTAAGCTCCTGTCCCCCCACCCCTTTCATTGTTGAACAGAAAGTCCACCAACTCTACTTCAATCTTGATGCACCTTATCAACAGTAAGAGTAGCCTGATATGTGCTCTGTGTGTGCTTTTTTCCATGGCCAGATAGTTTCCAGATAGTTGATCCATTAATATTGATCAAATTGATTAAGAATATCTTTATGATAATCCCCTATCCCTAAGACAAACAAAAAAAAAAAACCTGTCAAATCAGAGAAAGCTGCCAAGTTCTTAGGGTAAATTTGATTTGAATAGCAATTTAATTAACCAGACTGCAAACTTGTTTTCCACGCAAGTGCCTTTTTGTTTTCTTCTCAGTTTGGAGATAGTGTGTATGTCATTTTCCATTCAACATCTGTTTGAGTGTCTTCTATGTGCCAATTACTAAGGGAGCAGCAGTGAACAAGGCAGGCAAGGACAATTAAATGAACAAGATACTTTCAGAGAGTAATAATATGGACATAATAAGACAGAATGATGTTCTAAAGTGGGATCTCTTCTAGGCAGTATGGTTAAGGAAGGTCTGAGAAAATGGTATTTGAGGTAATCATGCGAAGTAGGAACAGCTAGTAAGAAGAACTCAAGGTAGAAATAATGTTGGCAGGTTAAGAAAAACAGAATGAAGGCCAGTGTGGTTAGAACGTAGTGAACAGAGAGAAAAGTGGTATCCAGATAAGATTAGAGAGATAGACTGGTAGCAGTCACATATGCCCTGTGAGTCTTGGGAGAGAGTTAGGATTTTATTCTGATCAGATGTTAATGAGGAGTTTTAAGCAGGGGAATAATATATTTTAACATACATTTTTAAAACATCCCTCTTTAAAAATGGCTTGGTGTGAAGAATGGATTATAAAGGCCAAGGTAGGGGCAGGACACGAATTTGGAGGATATTGCTGTAGTAAAGAAATGGTAGAGGTGACATTGGCTAGGACTCAGAAGCAGTGAAAAGGTAATAATGACTTCCACTTACTTTGTGTATGGATCTTCCCCCCCTCCCCATGTAAAACTGATAGGATTTATAGGAATTGAGCAGGAGCTGGTAGTGAGGGAAAAGAGAAATCAAAGATGATTTCTATGTTTTTTACCTAAGTGGGTGGCTGATGATGTTGTTTACTGAACTGAAGATTGGGGAAAAGGTTTGGTGGAGGAAATCAAGAGTTTTGTTTTAGCCATGTTAAGTTTGAAATGGCTTATAGATATTCCATGGTGTGATACCAGATAGGCAGATGGATAAAATAGTCTTTAGCTCAGTAAAGAATTAATTTCTATAGAAGTAAATTTGGGAGTTACCATCATACACATGATATTAGTTTATTGTTATGTTATGGGTCCCCAAGACCAATCTCAGGTTTGGTGACCCCTAGGAGGTCTCACAGGCCTTTTCATATAGTCATACTTGCAGTTGTGATTTATTATAGCCAAGGAATACAAAGAAAAATCAGCAAAGGGAAAAGGTGTATGGAATCCTGGAGGATTCCAGGTGTAAGCTTCTATCTCAGGTTTGGTGACCCCTAGGAGGTCTCACAGGCCTTTTCATATAGTCATACTTGCAGTTGTGATTTATTACAGCCAAGGAATACGAAGAAAAATCAGCAAAGGGAAAAGGTGTATGGAATCCTGGAGGATTCCAGGTGTAAGCTTCTAAGAGTCCTCTCCCCGGTGGAGTCACACACAGACATACTTAATTCCTCCAGCATTGAATTGTGACAACAGTGTGAAGTGTAATCTACCAGGGAAGCTTGTTAGAGACAGTGCCCTGAGTTTTTATTGGGATTGGTCACGTAGGTACCCTCTGCCAAAATTCCAGGTTCCCAGAAAGAAAGCAGGTGCTCATTATGAACCATATTTACACAAACAGTTTAGGCACAGTAAACCACCCTTATGAGTTGGAAAATGGTGTGAACACTTCTGAAATCCCAAATTTTCAGATGCCAGCCAAGGGCCAGCCTTGTCAGCAGGACTTTGTAAAGGTAGCAGCTGCTGGCTTTCTATGTTAATTCTTACCTGAACAGTTGCAAAGGAACATTTCTGTTTGAGCTTTATGTGAGGTGCTATTGGAAGTGCTGGGACTACCTGGAAAGAATTCCTGCTCTTAGTAGGCTTACCATAGGCCTGCTGTGCATGGAATACGATGAGAAATGCACAAATTACAGCAATTGTAGCAGGGAAGCGCCATAGAACTTCAGAGGAAGAAAGGCCCCCAAGGCTGGTGTGGCAAGGCCTCAGGTATAGAGCTGACACTTCAAGCAGCAGCCATCTGTATTAGAAAAGTGAGCAGTGATTGAATTTATAATTAGAATTAAAATACCCAGTGTATTCAACATAATATTAAGTTGTGCAGGTATTATTTATCATCTTTCAGTTTATTCATAAATTGGTGGCAAAGATTTTTTTAGTCTTTTTTCTCTTAAAGATTTCTCAATTTATCAGCACCACACTCTCCCAAGTGAGCCACGGGCCGGCCCAAGATTTCTCAATTTAGAACGGAGTTAGAGCATCCTGAAAAGATAGCTCCTTCTCTTATGGAACTGCTTGGTGCTTTAGTTGTATCTGATTCCAGGTGCTAAAGTGACTTCCAGCTTATTGGAGCTACTTACTTCAAAGCCTCATCAGTAAAAACATCTCTTGAATATTTTATCTGTAACTTTGAAACTTATCTAGCAAAACCTTGATTTATTATAATGCTCAAGGAAATAACCTATCCTGGTTAATTACATTCACTAATTAAACTAGAGCCCCTTTTTTGGCTCTAGCCTTTAGTAGTGAATGCCTTTTGAAATGTTTTGTGGTTATAATAGGTTTGAGAATCAGATTCTGCTGTATAGTGATATGGCTGAAAATATACTCAAAATCTGTCTTAGTCTTAATTAAGTTCCACATATCCCCAGGAATGGAGGGTGGTGGGTGGGTGTTTTCCCTTCCCACCCTCACCCTTTTATATAGATCCTTGATAAGAATTTGTTCTCATGATTGATTTCTCTTCCTTCTAAGTGAACAGAGACTCTGTAGAGAACAGATTTCATGTTAAAAGTACCAGCCCATTAATTAGTTAAGTAGATTAATTGCAGTTTGGTTGTATTAGTTATAATGACTTTATTTTTCTAAACCATACATTTGATCACCTCAGAAACTTCTTGTTGCCTGCAGGCCCCATGTCTAATGTGGCATTCAGGACCCTCTGTAATCTAATTCCACTCTATCTTTCCAGATTCTTCTGCTGTTTCCACACACACCCTGTATACTTCAGCTACCTGAATTACTCACAACTTTTGCTTTCTCTTCGCCTTGTTCCATTTTGAGGGATCTATTCAAATGAGAGAAGGTAGCATGAACAAAGGCACAGCCACAAGAGGGAACAAGTTCTGAGTAGGAATACACATGGTTGAGTGTTGCCGGAATGCCGAGCCCCAGGTAGGGTATCACAAGAACATGAGGCTAAGGAGGACTGAGGGGCTATTGGGTCAAGCCCTAGAGCTTAGCACCTAGGCTTTAGGCCTTATTCTTTGTATTCCAAGCACATTGTTTCATACACTTTCATTGATTGAGTGGATGAGTGCTTGGTTGATTTCTGATACGAATGACCTTGATGCAGTAAGATGACTGTGGAAAGTTAAGTATCTGTACGGCCTACTGAAACCTATGTAAATTTTTTCAAAAAAAGATTACAGTTAGACAAATATTTATTGAGCTTTTTCTAGGGTATATAGCAGTGTGGGGGGAAAGACAAATTCCTGTCCTGTGGAAATTACATTCAAATAGAAAGAGTGTAAACAACAAGTAAACTATGTAGTGCATCAGGAGATAAATTGTACAGAGAAAAATTGAGGAGGAGCAGGTGTTGTAGTTTTTATCATGGAGATTAGGGAAGGACTAACTGAAAAGGGAATGTGTTACTAAACATACACCTGAAGGAGGAGAGGGAATGAGCCTTATGGCTCATCTGGGGAAATGTGGTTCTGGGCAAAACAAACTTTAAGTGCTAAGGCCCTGAGTCTGTGCCAGGGTAGCTGTTGTGGCAGGAGGGAGGGATGGGAAGAGTGGATTGGGCAGGAGATGAGGCCAGAGAAATAATGGGCTGGGTTAAGAAAGCCTTGAAGGCTTTATAAGGACTTGCACTTGTATTCTGAGGGAGAATGGGAAGAAACACTGGAAGTTTCGAACAAAGGAATGACATGATCTGCCTTAACACAACAGCTAGAATTACATTTTTAAAACTCGAATAGATTGTAGGAGGACAAGGGTAGAAGTGGGGAGACCTGTAATGAGGCTGTTGTAGTAATCCAGGTAAGAGATGACAGTGGCTCGTATCAGGTTGATAGTGGCAAAAGAGGTGTGAAGTAACTCATTTCTGCATATATTTTGAAAGTAGAATAAGTTTTATCACAAATATCAAATAATTAGGTCATATTTTTAAGCTTTACATGATAAACTTAGTTGTAGAAATGTTTCCCTTTTTTCCAAACTCTCACCTCTGACTTGAAAAATAAAAAAGTTTAACAAAAAAAAAAGAATTAATTTGTGTGTACCCTGATTTAGTCCTTTGACCCCAATTCAGTGAAATTTGCCACTATTAATTCATAAGTAATACAATTTGACTGGGCTAGACTGAAACCACCTCAGCTTGAGTGTTAACATATGCTTTAGAAAAGTGCTGTCAGGGTTGGGGATGGATAGAATTCCCATCTCAGTTGAATTTGGTATGGTTTCTTCTTAAAGTTCCTATTAAAGATATTTGACTTAGATGCTAAGAAGTCAAGGTATCCCTTCTTGTTTAAAGTTTCTCAGTGTAAGATTATTGACATCTAGGGCCGGCCCGGTGGCGCACTGCTACAGTGCGCCGCTTGGGGGCGCGGTGGCACTCCTGCTGAGGGTTCGGATCCCACATACAGACTGGCTGCTCACTGGCTGAGCGAGGTGTGGGCGCAACACCGAGGGTTGCGATCCCGTTGCCGGTCCCGGTCCGGTACGGGCGCGACACTGAGGGTTGCAATCTCACAAACAGAACAGTTTGCAGTAACACGTGGGTGGTGAGTGAATTAGTTTTTCTTTCATAAAATCTTACCTCACTCTTGTACTTGTTGTCTGACATTTTTTGGTAGGCAGCTCATTCACCCTGGGTGCTAGTTATAGTCATCTCATTGAAAAATATTCTTTTCCAAGAATGTAATTGTAATATGTCAGGAAAAAAATTATCTAACTTCTTTTAGATATAAATGATAAACAACTACATTATTTTCAGTGTGTTCTAATATTGTTGATTACATCACTTGTGTGAACATAGAATACATACTTCATCCAGAATTGAAATAATTATGAGGTAGTTAAAGTTGAGATCAGTCTTGGCATATATGTGTGTATGATTCTTTTTATACATGTAGAGGTGTTGGTGTATTAGCATTGGTGAGTTATAGTGAATTGTTTTCCCATTTTAAACACTTGTGCTTTTTAAATCATTTTTTCTGTCCTAAAAATTTTGGCCCACTATAATTTCCAGCAGAATGTTTGGCACTGCATTTCTGTTAATGTCTTTCAAAAAGCAAGCTATCATGATTGATATGATCAATTTTTGGTAATTCTCCGTCTGTAAAAATCAGCCATTGGCTTTTTTGCCCTATTGCCCCTTCTTTCAAAGGGGAAAAAAGATACAGATTACTTCTATGACATGATCCCTCTCTCTTCCCCATTCACCACAGAAAGAATATAGTTTTGGGTCAAATTTTGGTCAAACTATCACAATATGTACCTTATTCTTCCTTCTGTTTTTAAATATGTAAATCATTTAGTGAGGTTTTTGTTGTTGTTGTTGCTGTTTTATTGGATCTGTCCTAATTAAAAATAAAAAATCCTAAGCTTATATATATCTTTTCATCTTTTCTGGGCAGAGAGGCAGATGAAGGATGTAAAAAACCTTTAGAAAGATTGCTGAACATCTGGCAAGAAAGAAGTGTGTATGGCGGCGAGTTCATACAGCAGCTGAAGCTGTCTATGGAGGACTCCAAGAGCCCTCCTCCCAAAGGTAGAAACATCACCACATGTTTACAGCTCTTGGTCTTTGCCTGCTTTCGAATCACATATGAAAAGCTGCAGTGGGGGTTGCTGTGAACCACCAGCGATTTTATGATTCTTCAGAGAGAGATGATCATGAATGATGGTGAGAATTTATGTAGTGCTTGCAGCGTGTAAGCTCAGTTCTAGTGTTCATGATGTTCATCCTCTCACACCCTAACTTTTGCTCTTTATTCATTCTCCTTGACTCTCTTCTGACTTTCAGAGACTTTCCTTGCACAAGGGAAAGGATCGACAAAGTTGTTTAGAGTTGTGATGAAACTAGGAAATACCCTGGATTAAGATTTTGTCCTAACCCTGTCATTAACTACCATAGGATCTTAAATAAGTCCCTTACCATTTTTAGAACTTGGTTCATGTGGTTTTGGAACATACTCTTGTGGTTTTCAGTTTGCTGTCTAAAATTGATTTTGGTCTTTGCTGAACATAGGACAGGTAGTCTTCAGAAAGTATTTATGTGCTTGTGTGAATTTTACCAAGTCCTTCGTAAGAGTTTGTGTTATTTTTTTCTTTAAAGAGTAAGATCAAATGTTATTTGGTTATTTGGCTTCTGGTTGCAGTTTTATTCTAGTTGGCATGACATGTTTCTAAGCTACAGACCTGATCTAACTGCATACATACATACTCATTGCCTGGAGGATCAAGTCCAAGTACTAATAGTATTAAAGAGCCTTTCTAATCTGAACTAGCCTCCTTTTCCAGAATCTTCTCCTGCCATTCCCTCACATACACCATCTTCTTTAGCCATGCAGAATTACCCAGTTTTCCCTCTGGGTGCTCTGTTGGCACCCCTTCCTTTGCATGTGCTGTTACCTCTGCTTGGGATGTCATTCTGCCCCTTTCACTGTGTGGTGAACTCATTCTCCAAGAATGCTGCCCTCATTCTGACATCTTCCCTTGCTTTTCTGGGCACATGTAGCCATTCCCTCCTTGTTCTCTGGTACTTCGTACATGACTCTGCTATAGAACCTAACTGTGAGTAGCATACATGGTGATATCATCCATTCAGCAACCTTTATTGTGTACCCTTCATGATCTCTTCCAGGTTTAAAGTTATATACATTTTACAATGCATAAAACTGTAACTTTCTAAAGGTTAGAGATTTCTAAGAATGACATAAGTGCCTTCAGACTGCAGGTTATTGTTTTATTTAAAGTTGATAGAAAATAATTTTATGGTCACTCTTGTGATAGCTTCTGAAAAGCAAAATATTTCCTACTTTGGATTCCAGTAGTGTTTGTATTGTATCCTTTGGAAGTATTCTATACAGCTTTGGAGAATTATCAGTATTCTTTTCCCTATTCTGCCTTAGAGTTCGTTGGTAAACTGTGGATTTTTAAAACACCTTTGGGCAAGTAGAGCTCTGAAAGATGTTTGAAGCTAATGTTGAATTTCAATTCAACAAGCATTTGCTAGACATGTGCTTTGAGTAAAAAGCTATGCTAGATGCCATTGGAAAGAGCAAGAGAGCTGTAAGACGGTTCTGCATTTAGGGAGCAGGCAGACAAATTGGGGAATTTGTGGCAATGGTAGTATTGGAAATAGCTCTCTTGGGTTTCTGATTTTCTTGAGAGTCTAGACAGACATTAACAGTAACAGAGGCAGTATTCCGCTATGTGTAGGATAATGCTGATTTAAAGTTAATTTTTCTTTCTCTATTCTGTAAAGATGAAAACATGTATCAGAAGGTTCCAATACGTTTATTAGTCCTTACTAACTCACTCTGTCTTCTCACTGAATTCTCTGGACCTGAGTTATCAGGATATTTTACCACAATCCTTTCAAAATATTGAAGGGTTCTCCAGAAGTTTATTTCCAAATTTGAATAGTCCTTTTATATTTCAGCTCTGATTCATGGGTAATTCTTTGTCCTCAGGCAACTTCATAGAGTTTACCTTTGAAATAAAGATTTTCCTGTGGAACTTTGACAGTTCTTATAACATTGGAAAACACATGAGCTTAGGAATTCTGTTAGAACTGGAGATTTCTTGAGTTTATATACCTTTCTCCCCAGGTGTAAGACTCAGGTGTTCTAAACTTGTCTCTCTGTTCTTGGAAATACTCAAGCTGTTGCTTGACTGAGTAGAACTTTATTATTTACTTGTCACACATGAATCATGTAGTATCATTCAGTTGTACAAGAATTTAGAAAGGAAAAGAAGATACAAAGGAGCTAGTATTTATTGAGCGCCTGTTATGTGCTGGCCTCTCCGCTATTTGCTTATCATGTTAATTTATTGTAGATCCTTACACTGCTCTGTGGATTTGGTATTATTTTCATAATTCAGATGAGGATATTAAGGCTCAGAAAGGTATAGTAATTTTGCCTGAGATATAATTGATAAGTGGAGAATTATAACCCAGGTCTGTATGACTTTAAAGCTGATGTTCTTCACACCGTACTTTTTCCTGAAAGTACGTGGATTCAGTAGAATTGAATTATGGTGTTAATTCATGAGCAGGTTACCCAACTTGCCTGGATCTTAGCATAATTTAGATATTAGAGTTTGAATCCCAGCTCTGTGTGACTTTAGGCACGGCATTTTACCTCTCTGAGCCTCAGATCCTCACTGTACAATATAGCTATTAATAGTAATACCTCATCGGGTTGTGGTGAGGATTACTTGAGATAATGCAGGTAAGATGTTACCAGTGGGGCGATAACAGGATTTTCAATTTGCCCCTTTCAGTTCTAATATCTAGTAATCTGGTTTCTATATATGAACCAGTCGCAAAAGTAGGAGGAGACTTTTAGTATTTTCACTCTCTCAGGTTTTGTGCAAAGCTGGAGAGCCTGGTCGTTAAGAGCATGAAGTCTAGGCCCAGCTTTCCCGCATTCAGGTCTGGCCTTGGCCACTCAATTCAGTGAGACAGAATAAAATGCTTTTAGAACCGTTCCTCAAGTGTTAGCTCCTTATTAGTTGCAGGCTCCCTTTTTCCCAAAAGTAAAGTGTAATGTCCTGTATTTTGCGGGGAGGGAACAAGAATGAGGGAACTGTGACAAACAGTATTTCCTTATTCTTTTCTCATTATAAAAGTAATATAAAATCTGTGTTTTTTGTTTGTTTGTTTTTAATCCTAGAACATTTCAAGTGGATCCTTTAGAAAACCCAGCTTTACAGGGAAATGGCTGCATTTTGTAATGTGATTTCAGAGCCTTCAGGCCAGCTTTTTGCCTTAAGATTTGTTTCATAGTCTGCCATAGTGTCTGAAATTCTACTACAATCAGGTCTTTAGAGTCATGCTACATAAACCCTTAGGTAACCAGGATTACTTGCAGGTTAGCTGAGTACAAGGCCCCCTGAGAGATAGGGACAAGTTAGAGGATAGAATAGAAGGTGCACAGTATGAGGCTAGAAGAGTGTTGGCCAGCCATAGTGTTTGCCCTGCCTGTAAAGAGTGGTTGAGTGAGTAAAAAAGGGAGAGTAAATAAATACCATGGGCAGAAGCTGAATTGATAGTGGAAGCTTATCTCAAATTCAGATGTAGGAATGGAACTAATAGATTTCCTAGGGTATTTTTAATGGCTGATTGGATTGTGAATACTGGGCATCATAACTGCTAACTTTGTAGCAATGATAGTCATTCTGGCATAGCCCTAGCGCTTTCAAAGGTCTCTTTGACTCCTCTGCCTTCAAGAAGTTTCAAATTCCAGTCTCAACCCTTTTAGAAAAGTGTTGTAGGAATGTGGAAGAATAAGACACTTAATGTGTCTGTTGAAGGGGAAGACTTACCGCAGCCATACAAAGTAGCAAGGCCAAGTGCTTTAAAGAGTGGCCCAAGTGCTGTGGGAGTTAGAGGGAGTGTAAGACGGTATTGCCACTACTACCAACAGGCTTTGAACTTAGGAAGAAACTGTGAAATCACTAGGGGCCATTCCAGGTTTTTGCATAGAGACGTAGCAGAGTGAGAGCTCAGCTTTAGGAAGATGAATTTAATAATACAATATAGTGTAAGCTGGAAAAGGGGCAACTAGAGGCAGGGAGACCAGCTGGGACAGTGGTGTGGACAAGCATGATAAAGGGCAGATTGCTTCTAAGAGGTTATGTGTGGGAAGGAGCAGAGAGAGGAGATATTTAAGATCTCTCTCAGAGATATGGAATCTGCTAGAAGTTGGGACTTTGGAATAGATTCGGTAGTCTCCAAGGCTTTGTACTTGGAACATGGGGCCAGTGGAAGTGTTCATAATAGAACTAGGTAGCTCAGGGAATGGGGACCCCTAAAGGGGAAATGATGAGTGATTCATTCCAGAAATCCTAGGTTTGGAACACCAGTAGTTTCTCCAAGTGAAAATAGGAGAAAACTGGAAAAGTAGGATGATAGTGATTAACACGTCCTGTTACACTCTGTTCCGTCAGGATGGCAAAGGACATAAATGGCCCTAAAATTATTTTTATTAGTTTGATTTGAGTCCTGTAATGCTGTGAGTTAGTGGCAGCATGAAGTGGTGCGAAAAACTCCAGATGAGGAATTTTGGGCTTGTAGGACCCAGATATAGACTAACGAGCTTTCTGACTATGAACAAAGCACAACTTGTGAGCCCTGATATTCCTGTGAAAATGAGTTGGGAAAAGCAAAGGCATAGGTCAAGCTAAGGCCTTCCAGTGCCAAAATTTAGTAATTCTAAGTGTCCTGAGGTAGTGAGTTTGGTTTCTATGTATAATAATTTCTGCATGAGAGTTTGAAAACTGAAGGATTTCAAGTTTTATCATTTTTTCCTACCTTATTTAGTGTATTTAACAATAATTTATTGAGCATTCTTATAGGTGCATGGAAACAAACCAAACAATATTAAATTTTTTATTTTGTGTTTATGTTCTAATGGGCACTCCTTACACATGGCCACTTTGATGTTGTAGTGGCTATGTCTATGTGAGTCATATGACACATCACACATTAATTAGGCAGCAACTAGCAAAGTACTGTTAAATATTTCATATGTATATATTATATCCTAATAGATTTTCTGTTTAAAAAATACAGCAGTCCTTGCTTTGCAGGGTAGGGCAGGAGTCTGAAACCATGCAAAGCGATCTTAATCAGTGGGAAAAACTGCAATTGTTCTTTGACTTTAAAAATTTTTTTTCTCAAAGAGTTAAAAACTCACTGTTGATTACAAATGTACAGGGAAACAAAAAGATAGTAAAACTAATAGTTATTTAGTATTCTGTAACTTAAAAAATTAGACACATTAAGAACTAAAGTGTGTTTTCTTTGTAACAAACTTATCAAGAGTGGTTTGAACAGTGCTTGTCACCTTCTGGTATAACTTATGACAGAGCAAGTGTCTTTTCTCTGCCTTAGCGAATTGTCATATTTCTTTTTAAGTTAGGATCATTTTCCAACATTTTATACTTTGTTGTCAATTTGTAAAATATCTCTCAGATTTCCTTTAGTATGAAGGTTTTTGTCAGCATCTCTTCCTGCAGGACATTCCATCACTTTCTTCATTTGTGTGGATAAGTTGGCCTTTACCAGTTCTTCTGGCTGTGGAGATAGAGTCTCCATAAAGGTGGCAGTGGCAGCATGCCACAGCCAGCTCTTTCTTCTATAACTCCATTTGTGTGCCATTCACATTTCAGTTCCAGCATTAGCTTTAGTTCTAGTTCTTTACTGAACTTTCATCTTTGTGGACAGTTCCCTATTTCGATTATTCATTTCAATAAAATGTCATGTGAATTTTATCACTGGTAGACAAGGAGGCAGGACAGCTACACACTCTGCTGTCCTTGTGTGAACTGAGTAATGGATGTGCAATGATCAATCACTGACAGACTTTGAAGAACTGATGTTATTAGTCACTGATCATGATTTGGGGGCTGAAGTTAATAGTGAAATTTTTTCTTTATGTAATTACTCAGTTACTACGCCACGGTAACTGAACCATGTTGTTTGAACCATGTTGTTGGGGGGACTGGTGTCATTTAACTAAGCCGTGGTAACAAATCTGTGCATAATAAAATTGTTCAAAGTGAGGACTGCCTGTATTGCAAATGTTGCTGTTTCTTTTTTCAGTAGAACAGAAAAATATAAGAAAGAATAAAACCCGTGATATCAACTTGGCTTCCACATAGTTTGGTCAGTTAATGTGTAAAGTAGAGAACAGGAATTAAATGCTTGGTTCCAGAAGAAAACGTTTAAGCAAAAAAATATGTATATTCTATGTGAGTTATCTATTAACTCACAAAGTTTTTTTTTTTTTTTTAAATTTTATTTTATTTTGTCAATATACAATGTGGTTGATTATTGTGGCCAATCACTGAAATCTCCCTCCCTCTTTTCTCTCCCCCCTCCCTCCCAACAGTGTCCTTTCTGTTTGCTTGTCATATCAACTTCATAGAATTGTAATTGTTGTGTCTTCTTCCCTCCCCCTAACTCACAAAGTTTTGAGGCAGGTGCCTTCTGTTCTCCTTTTTTGACAGATGAGAAGGTACTTGTGTGGTGCTAAGTAATTTAAGCACAGTAGAAACAGCACCGGTTTTGGAGCCATACCTAAGCTGCATTATTTAAACTCCTTGGGCCTTTGTTTTCTCACCTGTAAAAAGAAAATACTACATCTTAGAATTGTTGGAAGATTAAATGTAAAGGAACCATTGCAATTCTTGGCACATGTTAGGTGTGCCATATTTCTTTACTTTCTAAACCAGAATTTATCATTTAGATTTATTCTCCACAGTTGTTTGGCGTTTATTTTGTATTGTCCAATTTGATGCAAAAGGAATGATTTTGGAATTAACACATCTATCATAACAACGTAAAAGCATACAGTACAGATAAAAGATGTAACCTGTCAGCCTCAAAAGTGGTTAATTCTAAAATGGTAACGTAAGTAATTTCTCTCTGTAGTATCAATCATTTCTCAGTAATTGTTATTTCTGATTTTAAGGTAAAATTTGCTGTGTTTTGTTTTTAAGAAGTAGTTTAAAGGGTATTTGTGTAGAGAATTTTTGACGCAGTTTTATTGATGAATTTCTCTCTCCTATTTATTTTCTGAAGTGATCCTTGGAAAGCATAAAATATCTCATTTTATACACAATATGTTCTCTATAAACCCTTGATCACATTGGCTTGCTTCATTATATTGTTTGGGTTTCTTACCATTTTACTTCTTTTAATTTATTTTTTTAAGATAATGAAGTTTTTAATTAAATGTGATAGTTTGGTAAGGTTTACTTTTAGATGCTTGTTTTTGATAGTATTTTTCCAGGGTTGATCTGAGATGACAGACCAAGATTTTTTTGACTGTTTTTAGTAATCTGGGGAACTACAGCCAATTTGTTATAACTGTCATAAAGCCATCTCTGGAAAACATATACCCCTTCTGCACTGTTTTTACATGTAGCCCATTGTGCATAGCATTTGACCCTTACCAGTGCAGGACATGTGACTCAAATTTTTTTCTTTTCTGTAGCAACAGAAGAAAAGAAATCTCTGAAGCGAACTTTTCAGCAAATACAAGAGGAGGAGGATGACGACTACCCTGGCAGCTACTCTCCCCAAGATCCTTCTGCAGGACCCCTCTTGGTATGTCTCCACACCCAGATTCTAGGGAGAGCGGCTAGAAGAGACCTCTAGTTGATGATTATGGCCACAAGATGGCGCTGGCGACCCATAGTATGGAATTGCCAGAGGGCAGCTCTGGGGTCATAGGGTGCAAGATCCCACCCAGTGAAGCTTGCCATGCAGTGGGCTTGGCTTTGTCCTTACATGCCATGACTCCAGGATGGGTTTATGTTTTATAAAGTACATGGGTTTGGTTTTTTTTACTCCTCGAAATAAAAAATAGTCTTAAAAAATAGATTTTTGTGAAAGGGGTAAATGTTACAAAGATATTAAAAAATCTTCTGCCGTGGCTTTTCGCCAATATAGCATGGTTGTTTTATAGTAAATAACTTACTAATATCTAGGTACAGTCTGTGTGCCAATAGCAAATTTGCTACACTATAGCCTGTTTAAATATTAAAACAGGGAGTTAGTTTTTAACCATGTGTTTGTGTCATTTAGCCCTTTGTGCAAGCTAGATCATAAACTCTGCATTGGTTCATTTTATCTACTTAAAGTCAGAGGCTCAAGGAGACAGATTAAGTAACTTGCCTGATGTCTTAATTTAAATCCAGGTCTGTCTGACTTCAGAGTTCATACTTTTTTCTGTGGGTCTTACTGCCTCCTGTTATTTTGTCTAAAACTGCTTACTTTATTTCACATGGGTGTGTTAAAAACCTATGTAAATAGGAAACATGTCTATTTGTGTTCTGTAAAAATGTTGGATTAGACTGGGTTACCTGATAGCAGTGTTAGGTCATATGTTTTTGCATTTAAAAACTTTAAAGAGGACAGCCTGGATTATCAACTTTTAGGGTAATCTAACAACCATTTGTAGAGTCAGCCACTCTTAGGTCATAATGGACTAGTTAACCTGTCAGCATTCTGTGTTAGCAAACCCAAGAAAGAATTGAAGAAGGTGGTGTACATTTCATTTAATCAGTCAACACACAATTGTGAAACATCTGATGCCTTTATTCTATACTGGAAATAACACAACATTTGAAATTAAGCAACATGAACCAGACTCCATTTTCTTAAGTTGCCAAAAACACACTCCTATAGAATTTTTAAAAATAATTATGCAAAATTTTATTCATGTCTTGTCATGAACTTAGAAAAATTAATTTTGTACATTGTCTTAGAATCCATGTTATTGACTTCCACATAAACTGTGGGACTAAGAACTTTTATGTCAGGAATGACCATTTTTAGAATTTGCCTCCACCTCATTTAACTCCAGCTAATTTTCTTTAAACCACTTATGTTTTAATGAATAGTATTGTTTGCATTTTCATTTTACAGACTGAGGAACTAATCAAAGCTTTGCAGGATCTGGAAAATGCTGCTTCAGGGGATGCTACTGTCCGACAGAAAATTGCTTCTCTGCCCCAGGAAGTTCAAGATGTTTCTCTCTTGGAAAAAATAACAGGTGAGAAGGTAGAGTTTGGGTGAAAGATGAGGAAAGAGGGACATATCTGTAGTGCATTAAGCCCTAGGATATGCCTATGTCTGCAAGTATACACTTTCTGTGTAGTACTGGGTACTCTGCCATCTTGGGATTTGCCAACACAACTCACATGCTGAACAAAGAAGCTCTTGAAATAGTCAAAACCTTGAATAGTTGATTCTAGGAATGATTGCAGAAATGCTGACATGTCACAATCTGTGGCACTCTAAGATCTGTTTAAAACGGTACAAACTGTGTGGGCTGGGATGGAAGGGATAGGCATTGAATTCATGACTCTCTTACTAAAAGAAGAAACATTTATGATTCAGGGCTGTGTGATTTATGCACTGTGTACTGACAAACCCTGTAGATGACAGTGCCTTTAATACCAAGAATTCCAGGTGTGTGTTGTTAGTCATGTCATTGTGCCCTGATGGTGATCACCCCGAGTTAAACAGGGAGGGGCAGTTGACATTATTCCCACTTTCTGAAAGGAAGGAATAAAGCATGAACTAATCTTTGTAGAGTATGCTCTGTGCCAGGTATGTCCCCACGTTGCATAGCAGGGAATTGAGGCTTTGAGAGGTTAGGTGTCTTGCACAATGTCACACCAGTATTGGATCTTAGGTCTCAAACCTAGGCTGCAAAGCCTATGTTCTTCTCATTACAAAGCCTCGGACCTTTCTTCCAGTCTCTTCCAAAGGCCACCCTTTCCCCCCTCCGTTCCACTGACTTGGCTGCTTCTTTAATTCTTCCATATCCATCTAAAGGAAATCAAGGTCACTCATGAAATATTTCCTTCATTCAACATGTATTTGAGGCCCACTGTGTAGAAGATGCCGTTGCTGTCCCATCCAGGGGTAAAATGCCAAGAAGAAAAACAAAGCAGGAATGTGGGGGCAGAAGATGATTGAGGGAGATACCATTTTAAAGGTGGTCAGGGAAGACCTTTCTGATGAGGTGACCTTTGAGCAGAGACCCTCCAAAATTAGGAAGCAAGCTGTGAAGATACCTGAGGGAAGGAGGTGCCACCAGGCAGAGGAAACAGTATATGGAAAGATCTTAAAGACACGGAGGTGCTTAGTTGGAGAGTACAGCATGGAGGCCTTCTAAGTTACACGAGAAGCATCTCAGCTCTCTCACTTGGCTTTCCCAGCCCCAACAATTCATCTGTACTGAGAACTACAGTCTATTGATTCTTCTACCTCTTCCTAGCCCTCAAGTCCCCATTTTCTTCTTTACTCAGCTTAGAGTCTTTATCATTACTCTCTCGAATACACGTTCAACCTCTTTTCTTCTCTTTCCGCCTTCACTATAGTCTGCTGGATAAATCCCTAAACTGGTTAAATCCAAATTTAAAAAAATTATTATAATAAAAAATTATTATAAAAAATTTAAATAAAATTATTCTGTCTAAATCACGATCTGCAAAAATTGGAAGTAAATTAATATAAAGCTAGCAATGTGTGTGATTTCATTTTTCTGTTTTCACTGACCTAAAGTTTCTTTTAAAATATTTATTTATTTTGATTTTTAATTATGGTAAGATACAGTAGTGTTAAGTACTTTCACATTGTTGTGCAACCAGTTTCCAGAACTCTTTTCATCTTGCAAAACTGAAACTCTAAACAACTTATTTTTCCTTCCCCTAGCCCCTGGCAACCACCATTCTTAAACTCAAGCTTTGATCTATTCCTTTTTTGTAACTGTGCAGCTGAGTATGGCAGGTAACACCCCTTAGCTGACCTTTCCTCTTATTTCTGTAGATGCATATGCTGTTTTTTAAACCCACCCCTCTCCCTATGTGTTAGACCTGCTTCTTCTCACCTACTCAAGGACATTGCTTCAATAGTGCTCCTCCTTTCTCTTTTCATTTTTTCTCTCTGCTGGATTATTCTAAATAGCATGAACCCATGATGTGGTTTTTTTTTCCACATGGGAAAATTTTTTCTTGATCCCTAGTCTTCCTGTAGCTATTCCCCCATTTCTCTATTCTTTTTAGCAAAACACCCTGAATGGATTGTCTATGCTGTTTCTACTTCCCCTCCTCCTATTCTCTCTTGATTCTACTTTATTGAAACTGCTCTTGTTAAAGTTGCTGATGAATTAGTGGTGGATTCTCTGCCCTCATCTTTTTTTTTCCTTTTTGTCTTTTTTTCGTGACCGGCAACGGATCGCAACCCTCAGTGTCGCGCCCGTACTGGACCGGGACCGGCAACGGGATCGCAACCCTCGGTGTTGCGCCCGCACCTCGCTCAGCCAGTGAGCGGCCGGTCTGTATGTGGGATCCGAACCCTCGGCGGGAGTGCCGCCGCGCTCCCAAGCGGCGCACTGTAGCAGTGCGCCACCGGGCCGGCCCCTCTCTGCCCTCATCTTAACTTGACCCCAGGAACATTTGGCCAAATTGATTATTTCCTCTTCTTGAAAATATTTTCTTCACTTGAAGTGGGAGACAGAATAATGGCTCACCAAAAATGCCTGTGTCCTAATCCCCAGTACCTGTGAATATGTCACCTTATGTGGTGTAAAAAGACAAAATTACAACAAATTTAGTTTAACGATTTCAACTGGCTTTATTTGTGATTCTAGACTCAGGCATTGCTTCATTCCATAAAATAGAATAATTGTTCCAATGAGTTGAGCAGAGCTTTATAGATAGAAAAAGGGCTGAAGAAAACAAACAAAAATGGATTTGTCATTTAAAAGTTACTTTTCTTGTAAGTTAGGGAGAGGGAGACAGCAATAGAAAAATAACTGGGTAATATCAGGTTACTTCAGGATAAGGATTAAAACAGAGAACTTAATTATCTTGTTTGGAAGATTAGGCTATTTTCTCTCCTGAGAAATTTTCTCTCAGAAGGTCAGATAACAACTGTTTCAGTTTGGTGATGGGAAACTTTAGCACGGATGACTCCATTTTGATTTTTAGTCTGGTCTGTTGGGGTGTAGTGCAGTAGTTTAGTCCAAAACAGTGGCCTCCTATAATTTTTATGTAACAGTGGCAAAAGGGACTTTGTAGGTGTAATTAAGTTAAGGATGAACATCCTGGTTTATTTAGAAGTGGACCCAATTTAATCACAGGGTCCTTATAAGAGGGAGGTAGGAGGGTAAGACTCAGAGAAGGAAACATTACTAGCAGAGGAAAGGTTGGAGCGATGTGCTTTGGAGATGGAAGAAGTGGACACGATAATAATTAATAAGATAATGCGTTTGTGATGTTTTAAGCCACTAAATTTGTGGTAAGTTGTTACAGCAGCAGTAGAAAACTAGGACCCCAAATTATCCTAGCTTTCTTTCTTCCTCTCTCTCTCTGGCCATGTCTTTTCAGCTGCTTTGCTAGTTTCTACACTTCTCCTTGACCTCTTAATGTTGAATACTTACCCCTCTTCTCTAGATAGTTTCACTGACAGTTGGTCTCATCCAGTTTCATGGATTGTTTTAAATAACAATTTTTATGCTGATGGCTCCCAAATTTACATCTCTAGTGTTGGCCTCCCCCTTGAACTTGAGACCCATACATGCAGCCTACTACTCATTATTACTAGTTGTTGTCTTGAAAGGCATTTCAAATTTAACCTGTCCCAAATTGAACTTCTAATCTCCCCTCCAAAACTCATTTCTCTCATTGTGTTCCCCATCTCAGTGAACGGCCCCCTCCTCATTCCTGTTGATCAGGCCCAAAACTAATATCTGATAACTTGTCACCACCTCTACTGCTGCCACCTGGTGCAAGGTGCCACCATCTTCACTTGGATGATTGCAGTAGCCTACTACTGAGTCTCCCTGCTTCCTCCTTGTCCCACATCCTTAGCCATCATTCTATTCTCAACATAGTAACCAGAGTGATCCTGTTAAATGGAAGATGGATCATGTCTCCCTCTGCTCTGAACACCCAGTGACTCTCCCACATCACCTAGAGTAAAAACTAGTCTCACTGCCCTCCACATTCTGGCCTGCATTACCTCGTACATAGACTTACCACTTTCCCCTTGCTCAGTGCTCAAGTTATCTGGGCTCCTTGCCAGGTGCTCTTCCCTCTTAGGGCCCTTGTACTTGCTGTTCCCTCTGGAATGATCTTCCCCAGGTAGTCACGTGGTGGGGTCTCACTTTCTTCAGCCCTTTGTTTACATCTCACCTCAGTGAAGCCCACCCTGATCACCTTATTGAGAATTGCAGTCCCCTCTCGCAGTGCCCAGTTCTTTCCCCTCTTCCTTGTTTGTCTCTGTAGTTCTTACCTTCAGCTGATAAACAAGTATAATATTATATATTGTTTTTCTGCCTACAGAGGGCAGAAAGCTTTTGTCCTTTTGGTTCCCTGCTCTCTGAAAGCCTCGGCACACAATAGGATCTCAAATATTTGTTAAGCTAATTGGAAGGTTTTGAGCAGAGAATTGGGGAGCATAAAAGCCTAATCGAGGTGGGCTTAGGAGGAGAGGAGGTGGCTACAGGGAGTATAGACAACTCTCTTGAATATTTGTGTAAGAGGAGAGCAAGAAAATGGGACAATAGCTGGAGAGTGGTATGTGGTCAGAATATGTAGCGGCATGTTTATATTCTGATGGGGGTGCTTTAGGAAGGAAAGAAATTGATGAAGTGGGGGAAGCATAGGGGACAGTTGCAGAAATTGAGTTCCTGAGAAAGCAAGAGGGAATGAAATGCCCATGCACAAGTAGAGGGCTGGCTAAAAGAGGCTCACAGCCACTCATCTGATGTGTCAGGGAGGGCAGAGAGCATGAGTTACCTACAGGTAAGTCCCTGAAGTGAGCATCTTGCTTCTACATTTTGACTGTATTTTTTGTATAACTCATTAAACTGTTACAAGTTATTTTTCTGGATTGTAATTATATGTGTAAATGAATTATTTCCCTTGAACAAGATTTGAGGGTGAGAATTGATTTTTTTTTTTTAAAGATGACCAGTAAGGGGAACTTAACCCTTGACTTAGTGTTGTCAGCAACACGCTCTCCCAAGTGAGCTAACCAGCCATCCCTATATAGGGATCTGAACCCACAGCCTTGGTGTTATCAGCACCACACTCTTCCAAGTGAGCCACAGGCCAGCCCGAGACTTGATTTTTTAAAAGCTTTAAATCTTAAAAATTAGTGTTTTCTTTGCCACAAGCATTCAAACATCTTAATTAATTAACCATTAAAAAAAAAGATCAGGTAGTCAATCAACGACAAAGCTAAAACCTAACCACCCCAGCAGCCTGTTTGCAGACCACACCACCAATGTAGAAGAAGTATTGCAATCCTCTTTACCCTCTGTGACTAGTGCTCTCTTTTCCTCATTCTTTCCCTTTCACCAACAACATCCGTTTGTTCCCTATCCCCAAGGAGGGTAGAAGTGCCTGATCTTTGGCATCAGGCCTGATTTTGAATCCCTCAACAGTTTATTTTCCCCAGTATTCACATTAAGACATCTAAAAGCCAGGTGAGTATTTGCCAAACAGAGACACTGTGTTGGGAATTCTTAAATCCCAGTGACCCAGGAGAGTGCTGAGGTCTCTTACCTCTGACAATCTACATTCATAGGGAGCAACAGATCTGTATCAATCTGTAACTCACCTTTTACTTTGTCACATAGAGCTGCTGGAATCTCTGGTGCTCTTTGTTTCACATCACCGACCTTCTGTTTTGATCCTTAAAGGCCTTTATAAAATGAGATACACATATTTCAAGTTTTAATCTCACCACCACCCACACACAGTTAATTATATCAGTTCTTTATAAATTTAAACCTGCCTTTTGTTTCTTCTTCTCATTTCCTGATGTTGAGCCTTTGTTCACCACTTCTTTCCAGGAATATCCTTTCTTATACTTCAGCACAGTTTGGTTTTGTTTCTAAAGCATGAGTTGCAACCCATAAATTGTACATCACATCAGTCTGGCAGGTAATGACTAACGTTTTTTTAAAAATGGAATATAATAGAAGATAGAACACTTTGCAAATAGTAAAGATAAGTATTGTTTTATGAAACTTTTTTATTTTTATGTGTTTACATAGTGTATTTCTACTGTGGATCAAGTCCAAAAATATATGAAAGCCTCTGTTTCTTATCAGACCCTATATTTTTCTGAATGCAGAAAGAGAGCTCATACTCAGGTTCAAAACTTACAAGAGGTTGAGTCCTATAGATCCATTTTTGAGATGGATTCTGGCTTTGAGTCCTAACTCCTCAGCTGCATACATATCAAACCTGTCATGTAGCACTTTTTTGTCTTAGTTTCCACACCTAAGAAATGAGTGCTTGCTTTTTTATTTCAGAGAAATGTAAAAAGAATACTTAATAAAATAATATAAATGAAAGCACTAATTCTCAGAGGCAAGGAAAAATTATTTCATGATGACCTTAGGTATCTCTTTCTGTTTATTTGTAAAGCTTTTACAGGAATAAGCATTTAGAAAGCTTTTGCCAGGTTCCACCCCCTGTACAATTGCTTCACTTCAGGTAACTCAGAATAATGGTCCATCTTGTTGACAGTGTGAATGCCTTTGGAGTTCTTGATAAGCCAACCAATTGTTTGTCCACAGGTTCTGGCTTATTCTCAGACTCTGTATGTTGCGAGAGAAACTGTTAACCTCCTCTGAAATGTTCGCAATTGTATCTATGTGATTTGTATATCGTCTCTCTCTCTCTCTCTCTCTTTTTTTTTTTTAAATCTCATTTGTACTTAGACAAAGAGGCAGCTGAACGTCTTTCAAAAACAGTAGATGAAGCATGTCTGTTACTAGCAGAATATAACGGGCGCCTGGCAGCAGAACTGGAAGACCGGCGCCAGCTGGCTCGGATGTTGGTGGAGTACACCCAGAATCAGAAAGATGTTTTGTCAGAAAAGGAGAAAAAGCTAGAAGTGAGTACACTGCAAGGCAGACCCAGACTGCCGAAGTTTCCCTTCCAGTAGCCCACATTGGGAAATTTTTATTATGCCTTAATTAACAACATTTTCATCTTTTAAAAATTCATGAGATGGGACCATCCATTAGATATTGTAATTATGTGAGCATAGTTAAAAATCGAAGTCATGTTTTTATATGTCCAGGAAAGAACAAATCAGATTATAGGAAACAATGAATTCATAATCACAGCATTTAGGATCTTAATGTTGCTTTAGTTTGAACTCACATTAAAAAAAAAGTTATAAACTGAGGTACAAAAAAAACACAAGGTCATTGAAACCAAAGAATGTTTATTTGGCAGTATTTGGGAAATGCTTTAAAATGTCTTCCTTTTGAGTCGTATGGACATTTATTTCTGACTTATATCCATGCTAAGCTAAGACCAGTAAGTTATCTGCCTCCAAGCTCTGTCTATAGTCAGTTCTAAAATCTCATGGTAATGTTTGTCGAGCCCCGTTGTGAAACTGTTGAGAAGGAACTCATTTTTACCTGAGTGGAGGACTTTAGTTTGGAGGCCCTTGGGGAGGGAGTTCAGAAACATTTCCTCAACCATGCACTTGTTTGGCTTCTTAATTAAATACATGGCGGTTTAACCTCAGTACTTAGTCCCTGGGGATGACAGAGCCAACAGTGTGGATGTTTGGGAACTTTGCTTGACCCAAGCTGCTGGGCTTCCTTTTCAGGAATGTCTGCTCTTTTTTTAAGAGAGACGTGGAAAAGACTTGCAGCCAGTGGTTTTGTGAAGGGAGAAAGTTCTGGGTTGGAAAACCAGTCACATTATAATACAAGAAACACCTTTTAAATCCCATTCAGTGTAGATCAGTGGGGGAGAGAGCCCTCTCACCCCATGCAGTCAGGAAACCTGTTCTCTGACAGGGAAAGGGGGGAGCATTGACTTAGCTATTTGCCTTTCAACACAGTCATCTGACTTGAAAGAGGAAATGAGTGGTAGGCACTTTTTACCATATCCTTACCTTCAGTGATTATGGGAGATATGATGGGTGGTTGTAGTGGGAACTTCATATTCCTAGCCAGCTTAAACATGAAGATGGGAAGTGGCTGTAAAAATAGCATGGCTTGGATTTAGAAATCAGCACTGACCAGAAATCCTAGAGGGAGTTTCACAGGCAGTACCAGACGGTCATTTATCTGAAATGCTCATCTTTCACTGAGGAAGCATTTTCAGCACTGTGCCTCGGGACTAATAAGAGAGTGTAATTAATGATTCTGGTTGTAAGTCACCATGCCATCTGTTGAACTGCCCCTTGGCGACACATTAAGGGCTTTCTCTGATCTGTCAGACATTGATTATCATGAGCAGCTGTTGTTGGGTGGAACGTGGCAAGCCACCATGGAGGACAGAGTCTTTGAGAAGGAGGTTGGGTTGGTAGAGCTGTTTAACTATTCTGTTCCCTCTCTTCACAGTTGCACTTTTCTCCATATATTTCATAGGGAATCATTCTGGTTTCTGTCGGAGCAGTGGTTTGCTGGATGCCATGAGACGTCATTAAAGCAGAGAAACAATGCAAAGTTTGGGTCTGTCCTGTAGCTTTCCAGTCCTCATTACTCTACACTGTTCTTTCAGTGGAATGGTGTTGGCATTCCATTGCTTAAGCAGCAAAACAGGAAGTCCCCACCACTGGAAAGTCTGGAGTCTCAACTAAAGGTTCTTATCCTAAACTGTGTTTCCCAGCCACTTGAGCAGAGTCATTCATGGTAAAAATAGAGCTAAATTTGCTGCATTAAAAAAAGCAAACAAGTAGATACTACAAAAGATGAGAGATGGCATTAGTTGTTTCTTTATCCATGCTTGCTAAAAGATGTGGTCTGCTCCCCAGAATCTCAGATTTTTCTCCCACATCTTATAATAGACTGGTCTTATTCCATTATACATATCCCTGTGGTGATGGTAAAACTTGATAAGTATGTGCCACTTGAAAGGTGCATTAATACTATGAATTCCTCCACATGTTGCAAAAGTCTCTTATTATTTGGGGTAGTACAGAAGGTATACCTGTCTTTTTTTTTTTTTTTGCCTCATTAGAGGACACTTTGATATTATTTAGAGTCTCTGATTTGTTGGTTTGGGGAGCTGAAGGGACCTTGTTTTTTTTTATATATATATATATATTTTTTTTTTTCTTAATTTTATTTTGTCGACATACAATGAGGTTGATTATTGTAGCCCATTACCAAAACTCCCCTCCCTCCTCCCTCTCCACCCTCCCACCCAACAGTGTCCTTTCTGTTTGCTTGTTGTATCAACTTCAAGGAGTTGTAGTTGTTAAGTCTTCTCCCCCCCCCCCCGGATTGTGTGTGTGTGTGTGTGTGTGTGTGTGTGTGTGTGAATTTATTTATTTATTTTTAGCTCCCACCAATAAGTGAGAACATGTCGAATAAATA